ACGTACGGTCACTACTCGACACCCCTGTTGACACCTTGAGTAAGGCCGCCGTCACCCATTGCATCTCAGCAATTGACGGACAGTAGGTGTTAAGTTTTCTCTTTAACGGTTAGTTAAAAACACTATGCCACGAAACATTAGTCTTTGTACTTCAAAATTGCTGTCAAAACACAATAGAAATTTTGGGAGCCATCCAAGTACCCGCGACTTAGCCGAATCGCGACTTAGCGAGGGGCCACTGTATTTAGTATTGGACAGGAGAGACGATTTCCAACCAGTCCAGACTGCCCTCATAATAACTTGGTGCATGGTAGGCTCAAATAGTAATGGAGTTGAATGCAACTACAATGAGCATAAAATCCAATTAATATTAAGATCTTTTGCAGGCATTTGACCTATTAAATATGAAATAGCTGTAACTGTCAATCTTTTTTTTCTAATTTTAATTTTTAATAAAGCATTTCCTGTGTCATTAGCATGAATTTGTTATGGTTATCGTCGAAATGTGAGCACAGAAAGCGTGGCAAATACGCTATATAGCGATGTTAAACGAAAAATCATTTGAAAGTGAAAAAAGATGACTATGTGGTTGCGTCTAATCTTATCCAGAGGGTACCATCTTTTGAAATCCTATAAGGTGAATTTCATTGATTAGGGTGCAACATGAGGGCCCTTAGCAAAATGACCAATATTTGGAAAGTCTCTCACTGATTATTTAATGTGTCATTTGCCATAATATGTGGTTATTATGAGAATACCTCAAAGTAAGCACAAAGACAGTACAGCTGGAGTATCAACTGACGTGCAGTGGAGGTCGTTGTGCGGCGTTCTGAGTGCATACTTTGAGATATCCTTGTAATGACCTTATTATTGTACATCTTTTCCTTCCAAGGATATACCATGGGAATGCCGAAATCCAGGTGACAGATGTATAATAATAGTATTTATCGAGAGACATATTTTTCTATCAATGACATAGCAAATACCAGTACTCAATCTTTAGTTTTCACATCACATTTCACTGATATTAGCCTTGTGTAATGCAACTTTGCCAATACAATTGTGTCTAAAACAATATTTTGGGAAGATTCAGTTATCAAAATCACAGCTATTTTAGCTTTATTAATTTTTGTTTGAGGCACACTGAATGGTATTTGTTGGAAGCTATCAAGTGCATTAAATACTTTCACTCTTTCATTTAACGAATATTTAGATGCGAGTTTCAAGAAAAACATGCGTAGTTCATGGGACATCATAATCCAATGTAAACGGCAATATGCAGTAATTTCATACTTTCATCCATAATGCATCTTGAAATAAGAGCAAAGAAATTACCCAATTTTTTTGTTTCATAATACTATTGTTTCATAACTCTGTACAAAGTTTTTTTTTTTGAGAAAAACTGTCTGAAAACATGCAAAAATGGGTCTTTTTTGGAACTATTTCTGAAGAAAGTTTGTTAAAATAAATTAGATATTGATAATACGGAATAATGAGAATTCCTAAAATAAAACATAGGAACCAATGGTAAAGTGCCTTAAACAAATAGTAGTTTGGTGCTCATGCCTTTTTATCTGAATGTTTTTGATGATCAGTATTAGCGTCATATGAGTAAGTCAAGGAAAACTATTATTTTTAATTTACAAGCATTTTTATTATATTGAAATAAGATTTATTATTTGCCACTACAATAAATGGCAGAAAACTGTACCTGTACAGAAAACTCAACATACACCCACACAATGCGTGCAAGTCTTTAATATATGTGGATGTGACATGCTGTAAAACAGGTTGAAAAAGCGACATGCATTTTTAGAAAATTGTGGTAAAATTGAGTGAATCTCTCTTGTCATCGTTGATTTCCTGTTTTCACAATTCATGTCTGTCACATGCCAAAACAAATGCGCTCCATAAAAACAAAGAAAAACTGTAATTAGTGTAATTAGGAAGCATCCCTAATTTTTATGTTCCGGATTACTATATACAAATCCCCAACCCTTGGTCATTTTGAATCTATAATAAAGTCATTTGGACATCTTGAATTAGCTAAATTCACTAAAAAGACATGTTCGCAAAAAAGACATGTTTTACAGTAGTGTCTGTTTGGATGACATTGTACTAACTCATTAATATTTATTTATACTTGCTACAATGTCACAGCACCATTACTGGATTGGTCAGTAAAGCAGCCATTTTGAATTTATTTCTAATTTTTTTATTTATTCAACGTTCACAAGATACTGTTACCCACTGTATAATTTTTGCAATATGACATTTTGAGTGCATTCATTGAAGCTAATTCTATATTTAAGACTGTACATGACAATATTCCTAACATAATGACATTAAGGATGTTTACTACACTATCTCAATATTGACCAAACAAAGTAGCTCTTGAACTTGGCCAATAGAATCAATGAAAGGATTCTTGAGTTCTGATTAACTTAAGTACATGTATATTATGCTCTTGTTCAATAATAAAACAAATCAATGAAGAAGACTATTACCCTTTAAGTTATTAAAATTAGAAGGAAATTTGGCTGGAATAATCTTCAAGACATTAAGAGACAGATTACATATTTCAGGCGATGTCTCTCGAAAAAATATGTAGACAGCGTCTGGGATTGCTTTCAGATTACAATCAGATAAATCTGTAGAGGAAAAGAATGAAAAGATCACTACAAAATATTAATGCATTAATACAATTATGATTTGCTGTACATTCCATTTCATGAAGGCATGAATATTTTTTACATGTATAAAAAAATATTAATAAATGTTTCATAAATTTTGATTGACAATTGAATACAACTTGATATTAGTGAATGCAAACATCTCTTATAGAATATCTTGGTGGTAAATTGACCAATGACGGAAATGAGTAATGGGTATAACCAAAAGGCTTTTTTGGTGTCTTCTCTTGGCAAAGTTTTCCAGGGTTAATCTTTCAAAAAATGAAAAGAAGCATTATAAATTATTTATATTTTCTATACATATTTTTTGAAAAAACACAAAAATAATTTTGAAATTTATTGAAGGACTGTATGACTTTTGTAACATGTGATGTCATCAGGAGAACTATTGTTAAACAATTTGTTATTGTCCACTGACATGTGATGCATCATGGGAACATGGCAGTGAAGTATAGACCAAAAAAAATAAATATTGTTGGTCACTGCTGACATTCACTATAAATGTGCACATCACAGCTTTCAATTTCATTATATTTGCAGCTATATTCACCAATACAAACAGTGCATTTCATTTACCCTGGAAGCATAGTCAGCTGGAGTTCAAGTGATAATAAAATAAATGTGATCAATTTACAGGTATTTATTATATGGGGGAAGCTATCTTGAATACGGCTTGAAATTAAAAAACTATTTATTTAAAAATGATATTCAGATTGGAAAAATACCTGGTTGATATCGAGAACACCGAAAGAAGAAAACAATTGAGTAAATTCAGACTTACAATCACTGTGTCAAAATCCAAATGACATACAAAACCTAAAACTCCAATTGACAAAAGAATGTTCTACTTATGTACTGCTATGGGAATTGAAGACGAGACACACTTCATAATGTCATGTAAGAAATACAAACATCAAGGAAATTTACACCGCAAAAGTAAAAAAAAAATGTTCTTCACAATCATGAGTTCAGATATAACATTTCTTAATATCATATTAGCAAAGTACATAGAGAAATGTTTATATATAACTTCCAAACCAAACACAATAAGCCCAGTCTTCATAAAATATTAAAAAAATTATTGCCAATTTCTCCTGAAATACTTAACCTTAAACATTAATTTCTTATTTTTGTAGCTTTATAGTTTCTAGTTGTTTTGTATTTTGTATGTCTTAGTTTTAGTTTGTTTATTTTTTAAGACCATACTGCTGTACCTTTATGCGGCAGTGTTGTGTCAATAATATATATAGTGGTATATCAAACCAAAGACACTAGTGTCTTTGATTAAACTGTGCCTAGAAGACTCATTTAAAAGCAATCAATAGTCGAATTACTGTAATGCATTAAAAAATTCATGCCTTCATGAAATTCACTGTAACACTTTAGGAACATTGAATTTTATTTCTAAAAAAACACATCATTTGATTTTGAAAATGTAGGATTAGAGGGGTGAATGAGCTTCCAGCAGCTGGAGGCAATAGATAGGCGAGTAAAATATAATAGTTATATCCAAAGTGCCATAGCAAACGATGGTTGTCATGACAATATATTAAATCGGTCAAAACCCGTAGTATGTTATGTTTTAACTATCGACCTGAACAAAATATGACGTCATGTAACGTGACTGTGAGCAAAAGATGGGCGTGGTTGAAACTAAGTGGGCATGGCACGAGGTGGCTCGCACGTCACGTGTGCAAACCACAGGGGAAATTTTAACGTCAGAGTTAAAAATAAATGAGTTGATTATGTTTACCTAACTGTTTGTCTGCTTGGGCTTCTCTACACTTGTTCGCAACCTTGGCCACTTCCGCTGCAGCTGACATTATAAGCTGTCAAAAGTATTACACATTTAAACGAGGATTTGCTGGTGGTGCTAGTTTGCACGATTATCAGTAAATCAGTAAAACAAAATAAAAGAAGCAACACAAGTCTGATATCTGTGAGAACAAATCGATAGCTATTTCAGAAACGAATTAGAAACATTATGTGGAAAAATCACCAATAAGATGTCTACCCGTTGACAAGGTCATAGTGCATGTGATGGGTTAAAGGTTAGGCCTCGTGCGGCACACATATCCACATATGGAAGTTCTCGGCTTTACTCGGCATTTACCGAATCAATCTCGTGACTTCGGTGGTGGAATGGTTGAACATCTGAGATCGTGTGTTTGTGTAGCTCTTCTCTAAAACTTATTCGATTTAATGACTGTTTCCTGCCGTTATTTACCCAAGATTTGACGTGGCATTTTGTTTTACCAGCATGTCAGAGCAAGCTGTACCCCCATTTTCCAAGAGTCGGGAAATCCCGACGAGAAGAGTGATACTAAATGATCCATCTCAAATGCCTTCTGACTACTGCACAACTCCTGGAGGTACCATATTTTCAACTACGCCAGGAGGTTGGTTACTATTGCATTTTATCAATATTAAGTGTTTCATCTTGTACTGCTGTATTCTGGATTCTTCGCTAGTATAAAAATAGGCATTATTTGTTATTACATCGATCGTTAACGTGGTAAACTGCAAGGTGTTTTGGTTCTCCTCCATGACGTAAACAAAATTTAAAAACGTGACGACGCCATTTACTGTGTATCTAGGTCAGCCTTGTGCAGGTTTCTTTAATTAATTGACACTGAACTGCTGCTTTACATAATATTGTTTATAGTGACTTTTTGTGGACTATTGGAAGGCGCAAATGTTGTATTTTTGTAACTCTTTCGACGTGGTCAGTCAATGATTGTATGCGTGATGTCAGCAGAGCACGTGATTTTGTTTTGATCCTACCCCTTCCCCGCAAATCCAGGCTACAAACAAAACGCACCAATCACCTATTACGTCGCGGTTGTAATATGCACTTATTGCCATTTATTAATATTCCACATCTCATTTTATGAACATATAAACTTGTCCAAAATACCAAAACATTGACATTTCGAAACATATTGCATCATGTATCTTCAAGGTCACCTGACATTGTCTGTTTGTGTTATTCATCCCTGGAATGTCTGACCTTGTGAATGACCTGCTGCATTCGTGTTTATATCAATTTGTTTTGTGGTGCATAACAACTCTGGACCAGTTGCAACATTGAACCCTCTATGTTGACTTTTCCCCTAAAAATAATATATCTGTTAATTTTAAATCCCAAATAATATCAATGCAAGTGTCGTTTTGTGTAGTATTGTATCGAAATGTGAACACTGTATTGTTGAAGTTGTGATATATATTATTCTTAATATTATTTGTGATAATCTTTTGTTTGCATATAGTGTCTCATCACATAAAACATCACATCTGGTAATAACACTGCATTGATAAAGACCTGATATTTTTATAATATTGTAGAGTGGTCCAATTCAGCGATGATAACAAATCATGCATTCACATTTTTTAAGGTTTTAGCAATGTTTAATTTTGGTGGAAACACTGCAAATTCTGATAATTCTAAGTTAAAATGGAGCATTCTATGGCTTCCTTGGGGCCAACATTACTATCAGACAGGTCACAGGTGATCCCTGGTCAATCAGAATTTTATGGTTGCCAGAGGATTTGCTCCCCAGCGTAAGGGGGCACATGACCATGGCATGTAGGCACTTCACCCCTGTTTTCTTGTTTAAAAAAATCCCTGTAATTTGCATGTCCTGTTCTGTGTTATCTACTTTGTAAACAATTGTGAGTGACAGGCCATATCAAACGAACCAATAGTGTTGAATGATGATGAGCAGTTAAGCCAAGGCACATCTAGAGATGTTTTATTCTTCGCAGTTAGCATGAGATGTGTGAAGAGAAGAACAACAAAATCTATCAAGAATTTGATTGATGATTTCCCTGTGTTACAGCTGCTTTTATGAATAGTATCAATGACAACATTTAGGAACTTGATATTTCTCGTAATTTTGTCATCAACTAGGATCAGACTGGAGTTGCTATAATTCCAGCTGGCCAGTAGACCATGGATTACACCAAGTATCTTGATGACAAATTACACTGATGACAAATTACTGCTCTATTTGCTCTTTCTGTTGCTATTGATTTTTCTTACTACTTCAAGTACTGTAACAGGGGTAAATAGATCATTGTCATTCAGCTTGCATTTTGCAATTCATTGGATATTTTCAACACAAGAAATCACTGGTCAAACCATAATTCCATGATGTTTCAACTTCCAGTCACACACCAGGTGGAGGCCGTATTTGACATGTACAATGTGTATTGCAATGACGAGCTGCTGAAAAAGTTGAGTGATCACCATATCTCTGTTGTTTGTACCAGCTTACTGTACTGACTGGTAATAGCCATTGGACTTGTCAGTGCACAAGATATTCAAAGAACAGAGGAAACAAGGGTTTTTAGAAGTGGTACAATGATCGTGTGCGCTTGGCAATGAAAGATGGCGTTGAGGGCCAAAATTCAGATATTCAACTGAGCGAATTATAACCTGTAGTTGTTCAAATCGTATCAACATGACCTGATCAGATTAAAGATTTGAAAGCAGCAGCAATTTTAGACTGTTTTTTTTATTCAGCAGTGCATTTTATTTTGTTATTCAGATTAAACCTACCCCTATTGGATCCCAGACGCTAGTGTGTGATTGTGTGTCTTTGTTCTCTCCCCTTGTGATATGCAGCCCTGTCGTGACCTGGATTTAAAATACTGTGAAAGAGAATAATTGTTTCACAGAGTATTTAATACATTTAATTAAAATAAGTAGAGGGGGTTCTTATAACAATGGTGTGTGTGTCTATGGTAAAAAATTAATGTGCTCAGAAACTGACTATTTATTGTATTTGGTCTAAATCTTTGATTTATGTATACTAGTTTTGTTTCATCGTTCCAAAATTCGACCTGACTATGGTAAATATTACCATATTTTAGCCACTAACTGGCCACAGTCCAAGTAATTTATGTATTCATTAAACAAGCCTGCATGTTTTGATATTTATGAGCTGCTGAGGTCAAAGGTCAGCAGGGATATCTATGGATAAATGTTACATGGCGTTATGTCACTGCTACTGCATGATACATGTAATAAATGTATTTTTTTGTTGTTGCAACAGTATGATCTATTTATTTCTGGATAAATATATCAAATGTATCAGTTGGTGATCCATAAAAAAAAATAATTCAATCTCCATATATAGACACCTCCGTAAAGACCATTTTAATGATGTCACTAACTTGGTCGCTATACACGGGTTTAACTATATGCAAATAAGCTTAAGTCATTACAGTGTTATGGTATAACTTGCACTCAAATTCTGTGTAAACAAACACTGTATGCCACATGGAACCCATATCGAAGACAACACAGTACAAGACTGCTTTAACCATAATATTATTTAGACTGTAACTTAACACTATGTCATCTATATTTCTGTAGGAACTCGTATTATTTATGAACGGAATAAGTTAATGCAAATGCGTAACTCTCCATTGGCAAGGACTCCCCCTAAGAATTTACCACTGATTCCTGGAGTTACAAGCCCATTAGAGAATGAGAAAGATAAGAATGAGAAAAACAAGTCTAGTCCAAACCATGACAAAGAGAAAGGGGGTAAGTACCGGTAAATGTTGTAGTTTCATGTGGGTTGAGTAAATATTGCGACTTGCACAAGTTACATGTCAGTTTCCAGATCTTGATTGATTTGCCTGTTGTATCTAATTTTAGACCAGAGACAGAGAGCTCAATGAAAAAGTCAAGAGGGATTTTAGTTTTTTCTAAAGCAGAGGGAGGTGTCTTATAGTGTTAGTGGTCCAGAAAGCATAATTAGCCCATTCCCTGTTTTGGAAAACTATAAATTCATTATACATTGTCTGCTATCCCTTTGGATTCTTACCGAACACAAGTACATTAACTGTACCTCAGCTAAACCTTTCTTGACTGTTCTTCCTTTTCTCTTCCAGATCTTGACGAACCTCAGTTTGAGATGGATATTTAGAATGATGCCCCCTCAGTAACTTAGGCTGTGCAGTGCATGGTGGGTAGTGATGTATAACTGTACCCAAGGTGCAATAGTTGTTCTCAGATGATCACATTTATCCATGGAGGAGATAAAAAGATGGAGTTTCATACAGTGGTCACTTAGCATCAGCGTTTATTACAGATTTTCTGATTTATTTCAACTGTGAATTGCAAGCAGCATTGATTGGATCACCTACTGAAATGGAGTACAAGTGTACATGCGGTACTATGATATAAAATTCTGTTCAATATTTGTTAAAAATATTTTCTACTCGTAAACATTGTCAGGGTATGGATTTTTAAGCACTAATTTTGTCTCTCGTCCTCACTTCAAAGTAAAAGTCACTACTGAAAAAGTACAGCATGACTATTGCAATGTGTATGAACTGAGATTGGTCTTCTTCCTCATACTAAGGTATATTATGGTATTGTAAAAAGAGAAAATTGACTGGATTTAATTTGTGCACATTTTGTACTGCATAGATATTTACAAGGTTTTAAATTCATTTCTTTGTGAGGGAAAGAATAACTTCGCATATTTGTTGCATTTTAATTTATTCTTCTTTATCTATCAGTGAAAAACAAGCATAAATTAAAACCAGTGAATAATTCTACTCTTACAGTATACATTTATTTTACATTTATTTCATGATTTTCAAAACAGAATCTGTGTTGTCTGAATCAAGCATGTCTGTGACATTAACTGATCTCATTATTTTGTTGTGTTCAACACTGTGTTTAGCTGATACACTGTAAATGAACTCAAAAGAGGACATCTTTGTTGACATACAGTTGGCTGATGTTGCATATATTCTGATTTCAAGCTGCTGCATCAAATGCATATTCTTACACATTAGGGACTAATAATCATTGCACTTGCATGAGATTTGTTTCCTTCAAGATATGCGCTCAAAGATTATCTGCCATGGTAAATATTATTTGTGACTATTTGATAATGTAAAGTTTGAAACAACTGTTAGGTATCCAGAAAATCATGAAGATGCTAAAGTGAAATGAGTGAGGTCAAATGCAATTTGATCTACAGTAGGTTGATGGGTAGTTTCTAGTTATGATTGCTGATCGTGTATCACATGTCTTTTGAAAATCATAAAAATGATACAAAAATACAAAATTTCATAAAAAGCTTGAAGTTACTTAAACTTAATAATCCAAGTAAAGTGAGATAATCGTGGCTGACTATGTGCTTTCTAAAAGATGTTGGGCAAAGAATGTAACGTACATGCTTGATTCAGATTACTAGATTTTAGAAGTGCCGTAAGCATTGCCTTAAGTTTTTCATCACATGATCAATACGATAAAGAATTTACTGAACATTATTTAACATAAATAAGACAAAAAACTGACATATTCCAAATGTAAAATCTGTGGTTGCTAATTTGTTTTGTATGCCAGTATCGCCAGGTAATGTTTTTAGAATTGGTCGTTTTCAGTCAAACTCTTCAATCATTGAGAGTTTTGGGCATTTTTCGGGGCTAAGTCGCACAAGCAAAAGCAAAACCAATCAATTTTCCCTAAGAAATAGACTTATTAGCTGAATGAATGGCAGAATGGAAAACTATTCCCAAAATAGCATATTGGCTGACAGTACAACAGTGTCACAAGCAATGTTGCATTCAGGAAATAGATCATTTATCAGAATTGAAGGCAACATCGCTTGCTACACAAATAGGTGGATTGGTAAATGAAACAAATTCGCAGCCACAGTAAGTGCCTCAATACGTTGTTATAATGTATAACATATAATAGGCTATTTAAGCTTCATTAAAGTTATGTTATTTTCTTTCATGAGTCGAAAAAGGAATGTTTTTTATTTGTTTTTTTTTATTACTATTATTGTAAGGTTATTTTTCCACTGTACCATAGCTCTAGAGGGCGCTATTCACCAGTCTGCATTTGATAAATTCTATAATTACAATGATTTACCAGATTGTTTGCACCCAACTGGCACGTAATTATTTTTCAATAGCACCCTCTATGATGCCTGGCAATTATAACATTCACTGTTAAACTTCTCAAAGCTTGCATTATGGACTTTGACTGTTATTTAGAACTAATTTCACGTTCTGCTTCATTTCAACTTTTAGAGCACCATTTGCGAAAGAAACCTGTATAATTTTCTTTGTATTCTAAAAACAATTTTGTAACTTATTGGAAATTGTGTCCATCTAGTCCAAAACTAAGGAAGAAATTATGACATTCAGAGGACTCTAGATGGAATATGGACTAGAGTATATGTGTGTGTCCTGCAAATGCAACATTTTTAGTTTAGGATATTCCATATTGCATCTTTAAGTAGCTTATAGCTGATTAAATCTATTCTGCCTTGAAAAACATGGAAAACTAAAATGCCCCCTGGGTGTAATGGAAAGTATTGAGCATTCAAAACGGGTTACATGAAAATCAAAATCAATTGAGAATACGCTTCGTTCTCACTGCACCACAGGCTTGGGTCAGTCAACCAGTTATTGACAGGTCACTTTATGAAACTTCTGCTTTAAATTGTAACAAGATGGAGGTCATCCCATAACTAATATTTTATTTTTGTTTTGTAGTGAACTTTTGCCAAGTGTAATGTATTTCAACCAGTTTATTATAGCTTTAAAAAAAAAAAGATATATTTTGGGAGGTGGCGCTTTACATGTCACTGTTTGGTACTGGTGAATTTACTTATTTGAGATGTAGATACAATATTTAGTGTGAGGGGGCAAAGCTTTCCTCACTGTCAAATTGTAGGATTTTGTTGTTTTTTTAAATTCTGCATCTGTGTAGTACAGGGACACTGGGTGAGCCTGTCACTTATTTGTGTGCATGGACATTGCTTTTTGACTGCCACAAAAAAATTGGATTATTCTAATGAATTGTTTTTAGTGTGGGTCTCTAAAACTAGCATGGTGCTTATAACATACAATAAAAATGTATGTTTTGGCACTGCATTTATCATGTTATGTTTGTAACTATATTTAAGCCACAGAGTTTAGTTTGAAGTGTTCATTAAATTCATTCCAAGTATATGAAAAGCTTTCCCATACAAGCATGTTGAGGACACCACAAACGTGTTAAGTGATCAACTTGTATCTTACTAGTTGCACACTTAATGTTGCAGCATGGATATTTTACAGTGATACTTAGTATACTTATGATATATGCACCATTCCTGTATATAAATCACTCCTTGTGATGGAGAGCGTCTGTGACATCAAAACGACAATTTGACACGGTTTGTTGTGTAGTCGTTCAGCATCTAGAATATAGTAAAAACATGTTTATTAATGAACGATTACAGAACAAAACAATATCAATGTTTGTTTTGGGTTTTGTGTTACGTCATAGACATGTTTTGCCACCAGAGGGTGTGTTTTGTAGGAAAGGCATATCGTCAGTATCTTTCACAGCTGTAATTTTCTGATGAAAACCATATGCTTACTTACATTCATAGATTGTGACAAATTAATTTTATTTCTGAATATTATGAATTTCAAAAAAAAAATATTCAAAAGGTGCTTTATTTGTTGTAGAGAAGTATCATTAGCAGGTAGTAATATGGGATGTATCTCCATCAATGTACTGGTGCTTCTCAAAGTTGTGGCCTTTGTTTTATCTCACCATCTTTTGTTTTACAAGTGTTTAATAAGCCTTCTTTCAATAGAGGTGTTCCAAGATGCTGGCAAATCCAAAGGATAAAGGGATTTCCCCCCAAATGTGGGAATGGGCTTTCCTTGTTGACTGAAATATTGGAAAGTTTTTACCACCGTTTCTATCATTGATGCATACTTGAAGTCATTCTTGTTAATTCCCCCCAAAGAGACACAAAAGGCTCTGTCAACAAAATTTACATTCACCTGTCCAAATGCAGTTGATATCCACCAGGTTATTGTGAAGTAAAATCAAGAGAAATAAAAAGATGAAAATATCATCACTACAAAGTGAAATGTCTGTAGGTGTGATTACTGGTGAATGTTTGAAGCCAATGTAGTAATGGCTGCCAAGACTCATTGATGATTCCATTTCTCAGCTTTAGTATAAGCCCTGGTGTTTATTGCCGTAACAATATTTGTTTTTCTTTCATTTTCACATTATTTTGTCAGAAATAAAAAGTCAACACAAAAATAATAAATTAATCTACTTTTTTGACCTAATGAAATGTACTAACATAAGGCCTTTGGTCTTGTGTGTTTACAAAATGTTGACAAAAACTATGGCATTTACAGTTGTAAATGCATGACAACTAGATGCAATTAATTATAGAAAACCCTGATTTTTGAAATAATTCAGGATGAAAAAAATATTCCAACTGCACAGATATACAATTTGTTCACACAATGTCACCAGAATTTGAGATGTAGACCAGCCAAAGCATATAAAAGCGGGAGAGTCGTCACCTGCGCATGCGACAGCCATAGCGTGTCATTGTTTGCAAACAAGCGTTAACCCATGAGCCTTTGTGTTTTTAGCGTGTGTTATCGTCGCTTGCAGCATGTGCGCATGTGATGACCCTCCCGCTTTAATAATAACTTTATTACACTACTAAAAACCTTAAGGGTTTTTGTATGGTAAGGAACATAAATACAAAGAAATAAAAATAAAAAATAAATATTGACAGAATGGCTGCCATTCCATTTCAGAATAATGGCTTTGAGCCAAAAACTATAAAATGAAATGAAAACAATATACCCGTATTGTTTTTTTTAAATGAACTACAGATGTATGGAAACGAGAGAGTCGTAGTTGATCTTAACACAGGTAGTGTAAAAAACATCTGAGACCCCCCCAAAAAAAAGCACCCACTATGGTTCAATTTTCTACCCATAATATTTCTGTCTTTGTTTGCATGTGAAATTCAGCAGCTTGCAAACTTAGCATTCAATCTATTTGCAGAAGCAAGCGTGCAGTGCTGCCTTTTTTTATGATGTTTATCGTGTTTATGTAAGTCATACCTCCCAAATTATTGGTGTTTCGACAACTCCTCACACGTCCACTGAAACAGATTACTGATATCGAACATTAGATCCGGGATTAGATCCAATCTGGCGCATTGGAATCAGTCCTTTACATGCACCTAATGCCAACTCCAAATTCCTCAAACTTCAAACTCGATATATATAAAACAAGATCAAAAATTGGTTACAATTTCAGGCTTGCTGACGTCAGAAATAACTACCACATGTCAGTCACAGTGATTGTACCCTCCTTCTCACATAATCT